AGAGAGAGAGAGAGAGAGAGAGAGAGAGAGAGAGAGAGAGAGAGAGAGAGAAAGAGAGAGAGAGAAAGAGAGAGAGAGAAAGACGAAAGAAAGAAAGACTCTTCACTCATTCACTCACTCACTCACTCATTCATTCATTCATTCATTTATTAATTCATCCACTCATTCCTTCATTCATTCATTCATTTATTAATTCATCCATTTATTCATTCATTCACTCCTTTATTCATTTATTAATTCATCCGCTCATTCATTCATTCATTCATTCATTTTTTTTGTGCCCCTTCCTTCAGTTACCAAAAGAACCATCCTGGCTACGTCAAACAGATCACTGACTGTCCTAACGATCAAAATAAGGTGATGATAATAATGATAATAATAATAATAATATCGATAATAATAATAATAATAATAATCAGCTTCTCATCTTATACGAACTGGGCAGTCTGGTTTTGTGGGATTTCAACAAGAGGGCAGTTGAACATCATTATAAAGCTACCGGGGTTGGTGGTGACATTCATTCACACATTCATTTACTCGTACGCACATTCACACATTCATTCATTCATTTTCACATTCATTCGTTCATACATTCATGTTCACATTCATTCATTTATACACACATTCATTCATTAATTCATTCACCCATTCACACATTCATTCATTCACACATCATTCATTCACACATTCATTCATTCATTTATCCATCCATTCACACATTCATTCACACATTCATTCATTCATTCATTCATTCATTCATTCATTCATTATTCATTCATTTATCCATCCATCCATTCACACATTCATTCATTCATTATCCATCCACACATCCATTCACACATTCATTCACTCACTCAGGTGACCAGCGTATGCTGGCACAGCGAGGGGAAAATTTTCATTTGCAGCCACTTGGATGGCTCGCTATCGACTTGGTCCTACAAGAATCCCAACCAACCTGAGAAGACCTGGTTCCCTTGTAATAACGGTACCTATAATTATGGTTATAATTATGGTTTTATTCATAATTATGGTTATAATTATGGTTTTATTCATAATTATAATTATAATTATGGTTTTATTCATAATTATAGTTATAATTGCAAGTGTAATTAAAATTTTCGTGGTTTTAAACTGTACTTATAATTATGGTTATAATTATGGTTTCATTCATAATTGTAGTTATAATTATGGTTATAATTATGGTTTTATTCATAATTATTGTTATAATTATGGTTATAATTTGCTAGTGTAATTACGATTTTGATTGTTTTAAACTGTACTTATAATTATAGTTATAATTATGGTTTTATTCATAATTATTGTTATAATTATGGTTATAATTTGCTAGTGTAATTACAATTTTCGTGGTTTCAATTAGGCCCGCTTAAATGAGTTTTTAATTGCGTGTTTAATTGTAAGTATAGTTATATGAAATCGTAGTTAAAGTTGTAATATTTATTTCAAGGTTATAATTATATTTATATAAATTATATTTATATAAATTATATTTATATAAATTATATCTATATAAATTATATTTTTAATTGTATTTATTTATTTATATTTGTTTATAATAATATGTTTTTATTTTGTGTCTTTGGTAATTTGTAGGTAAGTTGACGTCAGCTGCAGATAGATGCCAGCCAATCACAAAGGTTGAATGGAAGAGTGTTAAAAATAGGTTGGATCATCATCATCATCATCCTCATCATCGTCATCATCATCATCGTCATCATCAACAACAACATCGTCATCAACAACTAGAACCAAAATAGGCCATAACTAATTTTATTGGATGAATTAGACGAACCTTATTTATCAATATTAAATTTAAAACATCCATCGAATTCAACTTCTCACTTATAATTCAGAAAAATTTCTAGAATCTTTAAACCAAAAATGAAAAAGATAACCTTATCTATCAATGTTAACTTTAAAACTTTCTTTTGTCTCTTTGATGTTTTGTGGACGCTAAACGGAGATTGATCGATTAATTGATTGATTGATTGATTGGTTGGTTGGTTGATTGTTTGATTGATTGATTGATTGATTGATTGATTGATTGATTGATTGATTGATTGATTGATTGATTGATTGATTGATTGATTGATTGATTGATTGATTGATTGATTGATTGATTGATTGATTGATTGATTGATTGATTGATTGATTGATCGATCGATCGATCGATTGATTTTGCTCTGAATGATTAATTTTGCTCGTCCTATTAACATTTGATAACTCTTTTTAAAAAATTTGGTTATAATAATGATAAAAAATATTATTTTTTTAATTATTATTATTTATTATTATTATTATTTATTATAAGGAAGAATAATTTGTTTTTATTATCAATGTTCAGCCACCAAACAATCATACCAGGCGATGGCAATAGAGACAAATTAATAACAATCATTCACAGTGAGCCCGTCATAATATTCATCGGAGGGGTGAAGGTGGATGGCGCCGTTTCAGCCCCGAGCATGACCGTAATTAAATCGACCAATCAGGTCACGACTTTCCAGTTGGATTTCCCCGTTATTGATTTTTTGACCATAAGCTCCACCCCTTATCTTAATGGTTGGCGTGATAGTTTGGTGGCTTAATGAGTGATGGGTTATTCCGCTCATTCCATCATCCATTCATTCATTTATTCATTTGTTTTTCCCTTCATTCAATCACTCATTCATTCATTCAATCATACATACATTTCACCCCTTATCTTAATGGTTGGCTTGTTAGTTTGGTGGCTTAATGAGTGATGGGTTGGTTTGGTCGATTTTTATTTATTACGATCATTCCATCATTCATTCATCCATTTATTTGTTCGTTCATTCATTCATTCATTCATACATTCATTCCACCCATTATTTTAATGGTTGGTTTGATAGTTTAGTGGTTTGGTTGTTTAATGGCATTCATTCATCTATCCAATCATTCATCCATTCGTTCATTCGTCTATCCATTCGTTCATTCATCCAGCCGTCCAGGACCCAACTGCCCTGGTGATCTTGATGAGAGATGAACTTGTCGTCGTCGATCTACTGGATGAGAAGTAGGTTGGATGAATGAATGAACGAACGAATGAATGAATGAATGAACGAACGAATGAATAGATAGATAGATGGACAGGCGGATGAACGAATGAATAATCGAACGAATGGTTGAAATGAATTAGTGACTGAAAGAACAAATAAATTTATGAACGAACGAACAAACGAATGAAAAAAGAAAACTGATTGAGTGCATGAATAAACGAACGAACGACTGAATGAATGAACAAGTTTATTTAGAGAAAAGTATAAAAAAAAAACTTTGAAACTTCCAAGCCTCCAGCCATTCGAGCCTGCCTACCCTATGGACATACACGAACAGCCGGTGACCTGCTGTCATTACCTGTCCGACTGCTCCAGTGATGTCATTCCCGCCATCTACAATGCCGGAAGTAAGATGGCGCAGAGGAAGAGGTTCAGCGAGAGAGTGAGTTTTTGTGAGGGTGTGGTTGGTGTTTGTTACAGTGAGAGAGAGAGAGAGAGAGAAAGTTTTTGTGAGGGTGTTGTTCGTTCATTCGTTCATTTTATTATTTATTTATGCATGTATTTATTCTTTTATTTCATTTATTTCTAAACGTCTGCTCGTTTGTTCATTCGTTTGTTCACCTGTATGTTTGTCCATTCATACATTCATTCATTTTTTCATTTGCTCATTCATTTTTCATTCATTCATTTGCTCATTCATTCATCCATCCATTCATTCATTTATTCATTCATTCGTTCGTTTGTTTGTTCGTTCGTTAATCCATCCCTTCATTCATTCATTCATTCATTCATTCATTCATTCATTCATTCATTCATTCATTCATTCATTCATTTGTTCATTCACCCAATCAGGAGTGGCCCATTAAGGGTGGGAAGTGGGGCTCTGCCCTCTTCAGCTACTCAGAGATCATCATAACTGGGTGGGGTATTATTATTATTACTATTTATTTTTATTATTGTTTTTATTATTATTATTATTAATCTTCAACAGACATGCAGATGGTTCGGTAAGATTTTGGGATGCTACGGCTGGTAATCACTTTTATTCG